ATGCATGCATGCATGCATGCATATACTGGAAAATGTGTATATGATATACACATTTTCTCGCTCTCGTAGTATCCTTGTCGAGCAGAACAAACTTTTTTGAAAACCACCTTTGCGAGCCTCATAAAGCCCAACAGCACCTGTGAAACCCTCCACAAACAACCCTATCCGTGTCTGTAGCGCTCTTTTCGACGTGTCTTCCGAGTTTTCCGAGGCCCGGGGCTGCAAGGCCCGCATTCCGCATCGGCGTGAGGTGCTCGAGCACCTCCAGCGCAAGCCTTGGAAGGCACAACCAAAATCGCTCACTGCAACACTACCCCGGCGGTTGCTCGTCAGTCTTCTCGTTGCCGTGACTTGCTCCTGTTCCATCCAAGAATATCAGTGGCGTTGTATAGCTTTCCCTATGTTGCAAAACTTGGTCCGAGGTGCTTCCCCAGCACGAGCATGAGGACCAAGTGTCCCACTACCATGGGCAGTCTCCTTCATGGTTTGAGACTTTCAGAGAGAGCACTGGCGAGCTAGACCCTGTGGCGGCATTACTTACTTCAGTCCTGCTTTCTCTTGTCTCAGGAGAAGTGAGACAACTTCTCAGACATAGCATGCAAGTACGAGCATGTTAATCCCAAGCAAAGCCAGAGAACAATCTTCTGGGAAACCCGGGGTCCTCCTGCCGACGACGCCCAGCAGCTGAAGGGCAACACCACAAATTGCAAAGACTGCCCACCGCCAGGCCTCTGACAGTCAAAAAGCAACGCACAAGAAAGACCCTTCGCCAGGTTGGCTGATCTTCGGCTGTTCTGTTTCATGTCATGGTCTTACAGCTCAGTTCTGAGACTTAACACCTTTGCCTTGGCGTGGACTCTGCAAAATCCAAGTAATGCGAAGGGCCATACAGCGGGCTCTTTCTGATGTGCCCTCTGCATTCGGCCGTCTATGCCATCCCGAGTTCGAACTCTGCTTCCGACCTCCACAGCCTCTGGGATGTCCAAGCGAAGCTGTGCTGCAGCGCAGAAGCTCACAGACACCTGACCATACCATAGTGACAAAGCGACTTTGTTGAGCTGATTTGGAAAGAGAGCCCGAAGTGTCTTTCGATTCTAGCAGGAGGTCATCAAGACAGCTCGTAATTAACAGCAAAAGCGATCGATTTTCAGGTCAGCTGTCGCACCAATGTTGGAGAGCTCTTGGGCCCCATAATTTGATCGAGCGTTCCGCTCTCATCCAATCGGGGCCAGTTTGCTCTAGGGATTGATCTACGAGCATATGACCATTGACTTGTTACTTGTGGGTCCAACTGAATGAGTGCCGCGGGCTCAACCTCTCCAACCGAAACAACCCGAAGTGTACCACTGCAAGCAAGCAAAGTGTGGTGTGTGTGGTGTGAGCCCCGTCACGTCTGGGTTTGGCACCAAAACGGTCGACCAGCGCTTTAAGTCCTTGACAAGCCCAAGAGGAAGCTCGCTTCGTGATGTTCTTTTGATGGCCGTGCACTGCAGTGCCCTGGCCTCCGTCCATTCTGTGTCCCGGCCGCACAAGTGCCTCAGCGTCTGAATCACAAGTATGCAACCTTCACGGGTCGAAGTTCTTCGCGGGCCACGATGCATGAGAATTTCAGCTGGGCACTGCGACCGGTGTGCACATTATGCTAGGTTTGCAATCTCGAGGTTCTCCATTGAGAGAACCAGGGAAACATATCGTCCAACGTAAGGCGTGATGACCTCACTGCAACCACAAGTGGTGTTTGAATGCTGCCCTGACTCCAAAGCTGTATATTCAGATCATGTGCTCGCTCCGAAGATTCCGTTGCATTGTGCAGCGTTGTGCAGTACAGTCGGTAGAGTCTTCGAGCTGAGCTGCAGCAGCACCACGAGGGCGTAGCCAACGGAACCTGACATCACAGGAAGCTCCGATCACCTACAGGTGTTGTGACTACCTTTTAGACTTTAGACCCAACATATCTGAAATCCATCGAAAAAGCAACTGCGGATTCCTCCAGCAGCCTTTCTGAAGTGGGCTCATGTCAGTGTCGTTCTGTTGCTTCGATTGAAACCCTTGCTCGTGACCCTGAGGCCAACACTTCCCGAGCTCTACGTTGCCCCACACTGCGCCATGTCCCCCGAAAGCCGGGTCCCCAGCTGTACGCCGCAAACGACGTGAGGAGAAATTCCCTGAGCTCCTCCAGCTCTGGGACCTTTGTCGTCTTGGGTAGTTAAAGCGCTTGACGATCTGTGGCAGGCAAGTTTGCATCTTGGTGTACGCGACGAAGTCTCGTATGTATGCATCCATACATGCATGCGTATTTATGTATGTCTGTCTGTCAGTCTGTCTCTGTCTGTCTGTCTGTCTGTCTGTCTGTCTGTCTGTCTGTCTGTCTGTCTGTCTGTCTGTCTGTCTGTCTGACTGTCTCTGTCTGTCTGTCTGTCTGTCTGTCTGTCAGTCTGTCTGTCTGTCTGTCTGTCTGTCTGTCTGTCTGTCTGTCTGTGTCTGTCTGTGTCTGTCTGTCTGTGTACTATATATGGGTGTAGGTATGCATGTATATATGTCAGTATTTATGTCTGCATGCACATATGTACGTGAATATGCATGTGCAATGTGTATGTGTATGTATGCATATATATATATATGTATGTAAATGTTATGTAAACGGCATGTCAATAATATGTAGACAAAAGGTAAACAATATGTAAACAGTATGATAATATGTAATCAATAAGTAAATATGCATATACATGTGTAGAAGTGTGTATATACGTATGTATACCGAAGGAAAGAAAGAAAGCTGTTTGTATATACAAATAATGTAAAGGGTCACAATCCCCGTGTATATATCGACGTAAACCGGTTCTGCCTGTCTCAGGCATGGATGGTCTGCCCTAACGTCTGTTGTTGCCAGGCCTTGTGCACGTCACCATTACTACGTTTATTGTCGTTGTTTTCAGGAAGTATCAGCCAGTGTCACACTACATTAGGGGTTTTCTAATTTCCGGACGCACATCCAAGTCGCTACAATGACATAGCTGTCTGTCATATCAGGCAAAGCAATCAGAATGTGATACAGACATCTACACGAACGCAAAGACTCGGTGCAAACAAGAGCACATATATATATATATATATACGCACACACACGCCACAAGCACAAACACACAGACACACACACACACACACTCACTATCTATCTATATATATATATGCACATTAAAAATACGCATGCACATCATATGCTCGGTACATGTATATATATATATATGCATATATATATATTTATTTATTTATTTATTTATTTATACACATATATATATATATATGTAAATGTATATATGTGTATACATATATATGTATATATATATGTATATATATATATATATACGCATGTACACAAACAAGTCATAACAAATCCAACGACTTGGATACCTGTACTCGTGCACACATCTGCACCTTGTCCACAAGAGTACGCATGTATGCATACATGTATACACAGCATATGTACATCTGCATAGCTGTGTAGATTGTAGATAAACAAAGAAGCGACAGAGAGAGCGAGAGAGAGAAAGAGAGAGAGAAAGAGAGAGAGAGAGAGAGATCGAGAACAAGAGACAGAGACAGAGGAGATGGAGTGAGTGAGGGAGAGAAATAGAAAGAACCAGCCACCCCTCCTAATCACCGATACACACGGCCAGATTTATGAAGCCATGCATGTATGCATTTATGCAGAGGCACACCGACAAATGTCGACACACTCATAATTGCCAATCCTGAATTCAATACAAATATGTCCGACGCCATGTGGAATCAGGTCACGAGGCGATTTTCCGGCTGGGTCAGATCGCCCTTCCCTGTACAAGGCCACTCTAGCCATCGAGCGCCAACTGCCAGAATGTTTGTGGGCTGGTATCTGGCAGGTTCCAAATGGTGGCTTGGGAAGCTCCGAACAGATCAGATTTTCACGGGATAGGCCCCGGCCTTCCTGATCCGATGCCCTCGCTAACACAGGGCCCGCACTAACAGCAGCCGCACCACGACTATGACGCCGTAGAGGCTGGAAAAGAGGATGACACAAAGTCCCGGGAAGGACCTTAAAAGCCTTGGCTCGGGCAGAGGCTACACAGCTCCGAAGGCGTGCGCCCGCCGCCCCTGCCGAGCGTGGCACAAGGTGGAGAGGGCTGCGAGCGGCACCAGCGCTAAGCACAGCTCGCCGATCCTCGGCTTTGCACCCCGCCTAGGAACGAATCTCAGGTGTCTTGAAAGCCGAGGCGGTGACAAGCATCCTTGCGAGGGCCTGCCACAACGCGAGGGAAGAGAGGCTCGCTGTCTCGGCTCGGTTAAGAGAGGCGCAGCTCCGGACTCGGAGGAGCGGAGCTCTCTCTGGCGTCTCGCGAGCCGAGCCCTCGCTTCAAGACACAGCCGGCCTGGAGCAGCTAAGAGATCCTGCACGACAGGGCAGCACGTAGAGTTGGCATGTAAGATTGCGTGGCAAGCTGCGAAAAGGTCTAAAGTCTACGACTCCAAGGTTGTGGCAGGAACTGACCAGCCCATTCCCCTTTAAAGACATGCTGTGATGCCCGTACAGGAAGGAACCCTTGGAATAGCAGTGCTCCTCCCACCAGTGCCACAGAGTCGTTCTGCAACCGAAGCCTCATTTACACTAGGTCGCGGAGAAATTCTGATTTCCGGAGATTGCATACTGTAACGTGCTGTGAGTCCTAACAGCACCTGCAGTGACTCTGACTCTCTGCATATCCCGGCCCTGATCAGGGCAGAGCTCCTTTAGGACTTTAGAAGAGGATCAGCTGAAAAGAGGATCGCTCAGCGTCGAGTGAGTACACTCTGCCCTCACAGCTGACATAGGATCTTGGACATGGATTGTCTTATCAGTCCGAAACAGACCTGGAATTAGGCAGCAAGAACGACGGATCCAGGAAAGCCCAACGCGTAGCTGCGGCAAGGTCACACCCCAGGATTCCAGGACCCGCAAACAAGCCACGACCTCAGCGTCGGACTGCTGTCGTTTCAGGAGTCGAGGGGGGTGGCCGCGGTGGTGGATGGTGGTGGTCGTCTGGGTCATGTGCTGTTCTTGGCCGTGCTGCTTGGCTCCTTCCTGTGATTTTTACCTGCTGCTAATGACGCTGTAAATTATATAGTCTAAGACACATGAGACTTCCGTCTGCAGGGAGGGGACACAGGATCCTCAGATGAGATCTCCGAGGCCGCGACACTTTGATGTAGAGGCTGCTGCCGTGGACGCGGAAGTTCCGCAAGCTCAGCCTTTCCAAACCAACCACACAATTGAGGTGTTACAGCTGGACCTTCAACGTCAACGCTCCGACACTCGCCTCCACTCCGCCACTTCCCCCCCACCTCTCGGTCCTCTGTTTTCGATCCTAGACCGAAACTCCCGCTCCTTCCTTCAAGATCTGAACGTACGGCAGATCCGCATCCGCGTTATGATTGCTGTTGCTACCGCAACCCTCACCAGCATAATCACCGTTGTCATCGTCATCACCGAATCATTGAGCAACAGCAGCAACAACAGCAACCAGCAGCAGCAGCAGCAGCAGCAGCAGCAGCAAAAGCGCAAGCAAAAGCAAAAGCAACAACCATAACACCAGCAGCAGCAGCAGCAGCAGCAACAACAACAACAACAACAATAACACAACGACAGTAGCCGGAGCGTTTGCCACCGCGGAAGGGCATGCCGTTCGTTCAGGCACGAGTTTTCGAACATGCAAATACCTCGAGTTTGTCGTGGTTTCCGTCAAACAGACGACATTTTGCTGATTTGCGCCACATGGTTTTGCGCGTAAATACCGTGGTTCTCGTAGTTTTTCTTGCTTGAGCTTTGGGTATGCTTTGAAAGTTTCTGTTTGGAGAGGACACGGGCCTCGAGACTTTTGAATTGGGAACGTCTCACAGATAACCGAGACATGTTTTCACATGTGATGTTCGGTTTCATGAAATCAACAGAAACATTGACCAACATTATCTAGCATCGTCACCTCCCCACCGCTGCGCGGCAGCAAAAAGAAAAACACTACATACGCAAGCCTCATTGACATTGCCATGGACAGGAAAAGCCCGACATAAATAATCTGCATTGCAGTGGACGTTATCACCCCCCCTTATTCCCCCCCTCTCACCCTGCAACGACAAATGGGCAAGGAAACGCACACGAAATCTATACAAAAAAGCAGCCGACTTGCAAGCAGCAAACGGGAACGGAGCAGGCACGAATCAGTGCAAATACCGATGAACAAAGGCATGCGAATGTGCAAGCACCTAGGTCTTGGTTGTCTTTGCACAGGAACACACTGTACATGCGGATACGATTTGTTGTCCAAGTTGCACTGTGCCAAAACTCGAGTTTTGGCACATAGCAGCCTGGAAACCGATGCACCCTTCGCAGCGGCAAAAGAACAACAACATCACCACCACCATGACCACCACCGGCACCGGCACCGGCACCGCCACCACCCCCGCCCCCGGCCCCCGCCACTCCAGGGCGCGGTTTCTCGCTCTATATTACATGTCCACGCCCCTTTCTAATTATTATGTCTTGCATTTCCCAACTCCGCAGTTTCGTGCCGAGCCTCGGGGGAGTGTCGTTCTATGCCGTGACCTGTTACAGTCATCATCTTTCATCCACGCGGTGGCCAAACTCGTCTCCAAGTCCTGACGCCTTACCAGGTGCGGCCCAGATGCCGCGGCTCGATCCGAGAATTCGGGACGACTGTCATCAGGGGTTTGGGTGTCTTTTCCCTCTTCTCTGCTTCGCCTTCCCCTGTCCCCTCCCTCTCATCCCTCTTCCATTTCCTTCTTGTGGGCTCCTGGGCCCTCTTGCCGGTCTTCCGCATCTTCTTACTCCGCTGCATTAGTCAAAAATCTCCGTGTTTTGAACACTTCGAGGAAGCCGACTATGACCTTTGCGGAGCCGCCCTGCGATGGCGGGGCAGGGGGGGAGGAAGAGTGCACATGCGGGTGGCACCAGCTACAGGTGGCTGTCACATCACAATCACAATCACAGAGTCATCTCCTCCCCCTCCTCCTCTTGCTCCTCCTCCTCCTCCGTCCCATGGTTATCGTCATCGTCGACGCCCTCCCCCTTACTATCATCACGTTCACCTTCGCGATCAATCACATCATCTCCATATTCGAGCTTTGTCGGCAGCACACTCACAACCACGCCAGAACTACTCAGACGACTACTGATGCTGCCTTGCCCTGAAATCCCAAAGCCAAGCTTTGAGGGAGCAGCAGGCCTGTTGCTAAAGCTCTGCACTGGCCGAATGCTGGCGTTCAGGGCATCTGAGCCTGGTCTCCAATTGGTGGTGAACCATGCTCACGAACGAGGTGTCCGACGTCAACCTTGTTAGCCTTTGCTGGGCATCCGGGCCATCCCAGAACCAAAGCTCATCACCGCCTGGACGTCTTCGTGAAAGGAGACAATATCATAGGCCGGTGGTTGGGTTTGGGTGTGCAGATAGGACTACCCTGCTTCCTACCGTTTGGCAATACATTCTGATGAGGGCTATAAAATGCTGCAAAACAGCAGCTGCTGCTGATTGTGGTCATGACGATGACTATCCCGATGATCCGAACCGTGACGATCGCATGTAGTAGGCTTAGGGAGGCGGTCGTTCTTCGTATCGTTCCACACTGCAGCTGGCTAGTATGCTGTCTGCAGACTCTTGTTAAACCTCCCTGTGCCCGTCTTCGAGGCCCTCGCCTGCAGTCGCTGCGGCAAAGAAGAGCTTGCCCTGACCGAGCTAAAGCAAAACAATGCTTGCGCCTTGAGAATCTTGAGACTGTTAAGGTCGAGGTTCATGCAGGTAGCATTTGCAGCCTCGGGGACTTCTCGTTTAAAGGTTTGGGTTTGGGATGCAGGCTCTACAGTATCAGAATCAGCATTGATTTCCACTCCATTGATAATTAGAATCACGATGTTGCGGTGATTATGATGCACATGACTAGTTGCAGGTCCATTCATTCAACATGTTCCGCATATCTCCTGCGGACAGCTCAACTGCGACCCTATGGAAGCAGCTCAAGTCCCCGCAGACCTTGTGCCTGAGCAACAGATCTGCCCCAGTGTGCAAGTCTCCCAAAACGCGAAGCCTCGAACTCCGTGTATCCGCGCGCAGCAGAAATGTCACCCGGCCGAACCTGGGCTTCGCCAGGTGCAGCGTTGGCTTTAGCAGGAGTTCCTTGCAGGCTGGAAGTGACCTCTGCAGGCTTATGGTCAATGTGAAGCCCAGCTCACAGTGAGTGTCCTCCGAAGCAGCCCAAACCTTCTCTGAAGTGTGCCTTTACTAAATGCACTTCCCATCAAAAGATACCTGCTTAATCGTGGAAATCAAGTCTTCACGCCGGTGAAGGGCACATGACCGAAACGTGAACCCTGTTGAAAAGCAACATACTTGCGGACAACAGACTTCTTCGCTGACAAAGCTGGCTTCGGACAAATTCGTGGCCATGAGTCCTGCACGTTCATCGCGGAAGGGAGGCAAGAAGGAGAGAGAGAGAAAGAGAGAGAGGGAGAGGGAGACGGAGAGCTAGAGAGAGGAGAGAGATATAGAGAGGGGAATGAGAGATGAAATGGAGGGACAACGTGCGAGTAGAAGCAAGACAGACGAAGGGATCGCACAAGGACAGCTGATCCGCACAACCTTGTTTCATGATTCGTTTGTTCTGAAGCAACATTGGCATGCTTTGCTGTATCTTAGCATTCCGGCCTTTGACACCGCTGGCATGGGAGTTGAACAGCAGCACATCGTGGAAAATGTACGAGTCAACGAAGCTATCGCTCTGGCTGACCTTTTGCCGGGATCTTTCGTGATATAAATTGACCCGGTAAAATAAGGTAGCGAAGCGCAGCATTCGACTGCAACAGCATCTTGCATCACGGATCCGAAATCTACCTCACGGTAACCCTGTGGAACCTCAAGTCTTGCGACGAGACTCTGGTCAGGGCCAGGGTTTGGGCTGCAGTCGGCTTGGGAAAGCAGTTCTCACCCCGGCCGACGCCCGATCGTTTTTTTGGATCAGCGTCGCCTTGCCCCCACCTCCCCCCCCCCCACACAGCCACACCGAGTACTATGAGCCTACCCTTACCGCTGCGGATCGCGGCCCAGTCGAGGGCGTCGGCCATCTCGGGAAGCAGTGGCACCAACTCGGAGTCCGCCTGGCGCTACCAAAGAGAAGCCTCAAGACTCAAGCTGTGCGCAGCAAACTCGCCCGGCCTCTGGCCAAATCTGAGTTGCATCCTGCACATGTCACGGCTTAGCAAAACCTTCCGGCAATTCACCAACTTGGTGTAACAAATGAACAGTTGACGTGTTGCAAGGTGAAGCTGTCGGGCCTGCGCTTCAGCAAGGGCCTGCAGCAAATTGCGCAAAGCCCAAAAAATGTTGGAGTTGGTGCTTTGGCAAAGCTGCCAATCCTCTTTGCTTTCAGTCGCACTTGCTACGCTTGCGATCTTCCCCTGTCACGAATCCCGGCTCCTGCGGTCTGCTGCCGGACTCGCTAAGGCTTGGGCATGGGCGCTGAAAAGAGTGGCGAGCGAAAAGAACTGGCCACATATGAGGATCCAGAGGAAGGTCCCGAACCTGAAGGCTGAGCGATCGGCTGATCCTTTTTTCCCCTGTCCCGCGTCCGCACGAGACTGAGCCGCGGACTGCTTCCTGCACCACAGGAAGCAGGCATTTTAAGGCGTGCTGAGTACGCCGTACAACCAACAGAACTCCTGTCCTATGGTCTAGGCTTTCCCTCATGCAGTTACAGACCACGCTCTCTGCAGAAAGCCACTCGAGGGAGGTCATGGCCTCGATGTATCCAGATTCGCGACCATGCCCTGCATCCGCTGCATCCATGCGTGCAGAAGATCCGGAGTGTTAGAGTCTACATACTCGCCTCTCCGAAAGATCCCTGTTGATGAGTTGCGAACACTAGCACACGGCGAACCCTCATAAAACCTTCTGGGGTCCCGACCAAAGAGATGATGATGCAGAACAGCAGAAGCATTGCACCTGAGTGGTGCTATGTAGTATGCCCGCGCGAGGCTTCAAGAAATGCGATGATCGTGTTGTGATAAGCGGCCATCAGAAGAAACTGAAATACTGCCAGCGATCTTCAAGGAGCAAAACCGACTAGCTGTGCAGAACAAGGACTATTGCGTGGGTACGGTCAGGGAGAGTTTGCCAACATCACATATTGCTTTGATAGAAGTTACAATGCTTAACCATTCCTGACAATCCATTCAAGGCTGCCTTGACCGAGCACGGAGACATCAGGCCGCCAGCTGACGGCTTGTTCGACCTTCGGCCTACCCTTCGCTCAAACTCAAAAGGACTCCCCCGTGTCATACGCCTCACCCAAAATCAGAGTATTGGTGGCTTGTCGATACAAGTGCTTGCAGGCTGCCTTGCACGAAGGACGGGAACCCGCCGACTCTTGTGTGTCATGCTTGAACTTTCCGCGACTTTGTATCGAGCACTTGCCTCACATATGCTGGCCGTCTCCAACTATCTTGCCAAGGAGCTCAGCTGCCATGCCACAAGCCCAGCTGCCACTACCAGCGCCACAACGACCCCTCCGGATGTTGGTTTCTGGACGCTCGGTCGAACAACTCTTCCAGAACTTGCACTTCTGGTTTCTAAATGTCTCCGAGCCAGCCGAGCCCAAGCCTTGGCCGAGCACAGCTGCGGGCCAGGCCCATGCATCGAAGCCCAGCTCCAGCGGCATGCCCTCGAAAGGCGCGTCTTCGTGTCTTAGTACTAGGACTGACTAGGATTCTAGGATCACCTTTGTGAGGCTGTACGTGTGACATCGTGTGACCGTCATGGGCCACTTGCCCGACCTTGCGAGGGGGGAAGGCCGAGGAGTCTGTTGTGCCAGCTTGAGGATGCTTGGAACGACAACATGAAGTGACAAGGTGGATACTTTCATCATTGTCATCACTGTGTCATGTGTCGAACAGCTCCTACCATGCCCACCAACGGGGCTGCGACATCTCTTGCTTGAGCCCAACGGTGCACGGCGATTCGAACCAAGCCCAACGGACTCCTGGAGGAAAGTGCGGGTCGGGCATAACTAGTGTGCAAGCATGTGCAAGCCCAGACTCTTGCAAACGCTCTGGCTGGGACCTGCCTACCAACCAGTCAGTGTTGTTTTTGTTTTTGCGCATTTTGCAGGGTCTGCCAGGTCTGCGGGAAAACGGGCGCTGGACATCTTGGACTGCGGCTGGGTGGTCCAAGCTTCCTTGAAGGACTCTCTTCTTTTCCGCATGGGGAAAGAGGGATCGCCCGCTCAAGCAATGCAGTCGAGTATCAGCCCTTGAGATTAGAGGCCTGCCATCAAGCAACTCTGCGTACATATGCACTGGGCTTCCTGAAACGCGGCCAACGCTCGGCTGACTGCACGCTGGCTGGAAAAAGGCATCCTTCTTAAGAGATCCTGCAGCGCGAAGAACAACCCCCCTCTGGTCTCCCCAAACCCAATACGGTAGCTTGCAAGAGAGCTGGATATTTTCTGACAGCGATATAAACATACCCCTCCTTACTTCGTGTTTGTCGCATCTTGGACCGGCTTGTGCAAAGCGGCCTGAACTTCTTGCTTGGGCGTTTGGGGAAGCTAGAACGCCTTACAACTGTGGAAGGATCATGCTGGACTGGTTTTCGTTGTTTGGTCGTGAGGTCTTTGGGGATTGAGGACTTATCTAGTGTTCAAGGCTTCAAGTCAGATGTAGCCAATCGGCTCCCAATAGGCCCATGCCCGTTTGAGTCGATGATTGTCACTCGGTTCCCCGCAGGACCGTTGCGTCGAGAGCAATGCTGCAGGATGCTGCATGAGGTCCGAAACGTGGACAATGTGCTCACAATTTGACAATCATCCACTCAGCTGCTGTGCCTCGCATGTGGCACTGAGACTTTAAAGCTTTGCAAGAGACATCGTCAGGCCATGGACGCCACGCGCCAGGTTGTGCCTCTGTCGGCGGGGTTGGGTAAGGGCGACAGCACGGGAGCCCGCTGTTGGCCTTGGCATCAACTCTGTGTTGTGGCACATTCTCTTACTTTTCGAGCAGTGGATTTTGGGCCAAGATAGTGGACACGTCCGCCTCTTGCCTCCCACAGCCGCGACAATCTAAACATGAATCCATGGAGCCCAACACCCCGAAACCCCAAAGCCTCTCAGTTCGGTGCCTTTACCACCATCTTCCAGGATCACTCCAAGGTCTGGCCAGAGTCTATCAGCAGCTTAAGTCGTGATAGCAATAGAAGACATGGGTGCAAACATGAATAGCAAGTATGACAAGAGCAGCAGCATAATACTGCTATACTTACTAGTTACTATACTGCTTACCAGTAGCAGTAGCACTGGCATGTGTGGTGAGATATCTCAACATGCGCTTCGCTTCTGAGGAATCCGAGGCACCGTATCCGTCCTAGTTGGGGCAGCCCGTAGTTTAGTGGCGAGTTTGATCCCAACTAGTGACTAGTGCGATCCATATTTACCACGTCACCGATTCTTTGGGCACATGCTAATGCAACGGCGGCTACTAGCTGAGAATTTGGCTTGAGACGGCTTCAAAACTTTCAGGCTCAGAACCAGCAGTTTTCCACAGCCCTACCGAGCTTGCTACCATCCCCTCGAAGCACCTGTCAGCTCGTCTCGGATGGCATCTGCCCGGGCGAAGTCCTCCGCATGCTGCGCATGGGTTGCAATCCGAGGCTGCTTTCGTGACATCTGAGGCCCTTGTCGAGACACGGGATTTGCAGCTCGTCCGGTCCTTGTCTTTTCTCGCAGCATCTCTCTCCTGCTCGGAGAATTGGTCCATACCCGACATGTCTCTTTTCTGCTGCAAATGCTCGATGCCTGCAGTTTCTGATTCGTGTCGTCTTCGATCTATCAACTCGTGCTCAGTTTCATCGGTGTCATGAACAGCCGATGCCAAAGCAACAGGGAAGCTTACTGCCACTCGCTCCCTGTTGGCCAACATCGGCAGTGTGTTAGTGCTACATCGTTACCACGACTGTGGACGTCCTCACACCGGCTTTCGCCACAACCATTACGGCCATGTAAATCTTCATCAATCAACCTCATCGTCGTCATCAGGTCATACATGGTCATCACGAAACGCTGCCCTCTGCGTCGAGACAGCATCGACTGCGAGCAGCCCAAAATGCTGCCGCGACGTGGGATGAGGAATCGAACACAGTCGCGGACGTAAAGCGGGGAAGTAAAAGAACAGCGGTCTCTTACACTCTTGTAATGCCTTGCAGCCTTACAGCAGCACCAACAAGATCCAACAGGTACCACAGATCTTGGCATCGATGTCTGTGGTGAAACCGATAGAAAGGATGATGTTTATGGCTGGGCCTATGCCGGAGCAGAACAGTGTTGCGCAACCGCAGAGCGTAGATCCGCGCCAGCCTGAATGAGCCGCTCCACCTTCTCCTTTTGGCACGGGGATGTCCAGGGCGCTTTGGCACACTAAGGGGCTCAGATCAGATCTCCCGAGGATTAACAGTCGCCCCTTCAAGAAGCGCCGGCCTCGAAGTCCGAGTCGAGGGGCCCTTTGCAAACAACTTCTGGGTCGCGCCTGCCGAGATGGGCTTTGGCTTCGCATGCTTCGCGTGGGTTTGCAAGTGATCCGCTGAGGCAGGCGCTGGAGAAGCCCAAGGACTCCACCCATGGTGTACAGATGCCTCGGAGGAACCATGGACAGGGTCCACATTCTTGCGACTACCAGGCTGCGCTGCTTCTTGACTACAAATAGTTCAGCGGCTTGGCCAAATCGCCAACAAGACAACACGGCCCAGTGGCTTCTTTCAGTTTCACGTTGAAGGGAATAGACCCAACTCTTGTGGCTGCCTGGCTTTCTCCTCGAAGCTGATTCGGGCCGCTTCGGCGTCCGATCCTTCGCCTGAGATGTCAGAGAGGTGTGACGAGGCCGCAATTGCACGGGGCCTTGAGTGCATTTATATGGCGAGTTCGGGACGCAACCGCGGAAGTGTACATACTACCAGCTACAGCACCATACACTACCCTCACCAACTGCAGCCTGAAGATCTTCGTACCAGCAGGCATACGTTGTCAGTTCTCGTGTTTGCAGTCTTGTGGCGTGAGTGAAGGCGGGCACGCTTTCCCCGAAGTGCAACATTTAGTGTCCGACCTTCGCTCGCTTGCTGCAGCTGCAGAAGCTCCCGGGAGAGCTCCGACATAGCCTTGCGCAGACCGCCACGTGCGCTTTCAGTCAGACTATGTATGAGGCGCAGCCCCTTCTAGCCCTGAAGTGCAGCACACCCAGGGCGCAGACCGCCACCGCATTGACCGTGTCGAAATCCTCGTCAAGCCAAATCACGCGCTCAAAGGTATCAGAAATAGAAAGCCGCCCAGTTTTCACAGGCATGGCCAAAGGCAGCACGAAGCAAAGGGTGGACTTACGAGAAGTTCCGACATCAGAACACAATTCGATGGCATCTACATGCTGCTTGCGGTGAAGTCACATTTGCCATGGCTGCCAGGAAGCGGCTGTGCTGCCTTCGTTGTAATTGCCAGTCACATGGGCATGGGCAATGCAGGCTTACCTTCGACAAGAACTTCCACTGCCTGTAGGCCATCTATGATTGGGCTCAGCATTCTTCTGCCTCTCGCTTCAGTTCTCCCGCAAGACTTCTTTCAGGTCGCAAAGGCCAGTCATCTCGCAGTTTTCATGGCCGTCTCACTTAGCGTCGGCCTATCAGGATACTTTGCCTTAGGATCTCTTCGGACAGAAAAACTGGTTCAACTTCTGGGCATGGGCCGCCGAAGGACAATTGTGGGGACACTAGTTTTTGGACCATCAACGACTTCTGACGCGTGAAACCATGTGACAATGTGTCCAGTCTGTGACCTTGGGAGAGCTCTCACGGTTTCTCATCTTTGGGTTTGGGAAAAGCCGTCAGAAGTGTTGGTTACCAAGGGAGGAACCTTGTCTCTGGTGCTAAGTCGCCTCCGTCCTGCTATCGCTCGGACCGACGTGTCGGACGTCACTCATCAAGAGAACCTGTGTGTCCAGCTCGCATCCGTCTGGAGGGACAGTGTCCGCGGGAGGCGACCTTGCCGAAACATCTTGCCAGCTGCTCACAGGATGCCATGCACAATAAAATCTAAGCTGAGGTAGTAGTAGCAGCACAAGTAGTACTAGCTGTTACTAGCCGTCCTAGTAGCAGTAGCAGTAGTAACAGAAGTAGCAGCAGAAGACGTAGCACTAGTTGCAGTAGGAGGAGTAGTAGCAGTTGTTGTTGCTATTGTTGGGCAGTAGTGCTTGCAGTAGCAGTAGCAGTAGTGGTTTGGCGGTGCCGGCAGGAGCGGCAGGATCTGTTACTACGACGACGGCTGCTGTTGTCACTGCCGCTGTGATGTGAGGGCAGATTGGATGCCAGCTGAACGCGGGCCTCGGTGCCTTCGCTGCTGTGCTCCTCCAGTGCGGAGAGAGCCGGGGCTCCGGGCAGAGAGGCGCCTCTGAGGGAGGAATAGAGCTTCAGCAGCTTCTCCTCAGCCTCGATGCGACGAGCCCTCCCACTCTCCAAGCTTCAGAGTTGAATAGGGCAGCATTGTATGAAAGAGGCCCAACTCAAGCACCGTTACTTCGCAACGCTACTTAACACATCTCCCACGTGTCAGGAGTAGTTGGAGGCTTAGTGCTGGCATCTTGGGCCAAGCAAAAATACTGACCACAGTGGGGCACTCGGTGTGCCCTTGCACGTACCCAGCCGACAGTCAGATGGACAGTCCCATTCCTCTTTGCCGCCGGTGGTGCCAGCCCAGCATGAGCCCGTCCGTTCATTGCTGGCTTTAGCAGCGTCCATCAATGAACTGTTTTGTGGTGTCTGGACAGAGTCGTCGATAAGAACAGGCGACGACTGATGCTGGGAGGGAGGGCCAGCACACTTGAAGGGTGCCAACTTTGACACATGGCCTGTGTGGCCAGGAACGCGCTTCGAACGTGGTCTGACGAACATTACGCGTCTCGTCACAGCAGCATGCACAAGGGAAAGCCCAGACACGAAGTTCAACTGCCACGTGCTGGCTCGAAGATATATTGTTCTTTTGGTAGCGACCTCGCAGATTCCTCCCTCCCAAACGAGGAGTGGCGAGCCTCTGCCAACAGGTCTTCTGAATACAGCATAGGCCTGCGTGCTCAGCTTCCATGGAAATCAGCTCAGTGCATGGCCAGAACTGGGCATGTAAAAGCAGCAGTCCCTACGCCCATGTGGATTGCTCGCAGGCTCTCCAGAGCCTGCGGTACTGCGAGCTGAGAAGGTAGAAGCGGATCACCTGCCGTGGTGTTCTCTCAGTGGGCTGAGAGGCATTTCGGTGAGGAGTCTCAAGATTTCTAAACCTGTTCCTGCCTGAGCAGATCACCGCTCAAAGCATCGACTTCTCAGGAAGCATTTGTGCACTCGCAGTTGCACAGGACTCTAGAATCAATACACCCGAGGCTCCATGCGTCTTGCACTGTAATGGTATTTACGGACAGAAGTTTCGAAACTGTAGATTGCGCCGAGGACAGGTTGAAGCATGCTGTAGTCTATCCGACAAAATGGGAGGCGCATTCAGATGCAAGAGGCCTCTTATACAACATGCCAAGAATGATCTTCCATGATATCGGCTTCAAGCTTGGGTAATTAGCGTGCCTCTCCATCATGCTTGTCCAGGACGTCACGGATGGTGACCTTTCAGAAGCCAGTTGGAGAAGTCTGATGGCATTGCCATTGCTCGTCTCTTGACCATTTCTGGAGTTCGGGATAACTGCTGCCCGACCCCAAGATTCCATGAGCTTCTAGCACACGAGCTTGTCAGCCATGATGAATGCAGCGCGTACAGTGAGAACTTGCAGCAGCTGAGGGTCCGTGCATAGTTACCCAGCGACTTCGACATCTTCTCATTGTCATATGCACGCCTTAGTAGCAGTTCTAGACAGCTGACTCCTGTGCAGACTCAGAAAACGTGAGCAAAACCCTTGAACCAAGGCATGCTGACAAGACTGCCATCCAAGTAGAAGAGAACACTAACATGCCGCACTAAATTGAAGCGCAGAGCCTTCGGAAAGTGTTCAGATGTCCCTAGCCAACAGCGCAAGCTTCCGCAGCAAAATATTTACATGCGGCAGTCTCCCGAGGTTCCTCTTCAGTGAATGCTGCAGACGTTGATTTTCAGTGCTCCCCTTGGCAGGCAAGCTGATGCAAGAGTTGAGCCTAGATTGCTGCCTTGTCAGACGGTCTCCAGCCCCTTGTTCAGATTCGTCTGAAACCTGAGGCTAGAAGTCCGAAGCCCAAGTCCTACAGAACACGAGGTTCCGGCACGGCTGCGCAATGCATCCATGTCTTCACATACTTCTTTCCGTTTGCTGCCTCACCTGCAACACAGTGAAATTGGTCACGAATTGCCAATTTCACCTTGGGCTTGTAGAGCAAGGAGGATCCACGCAGGGGGCGCAGCAGTCGATTGCTCAGAGTTATTCAGTTATTCAGGGATTGTTCGCTGGGCTGGCATTCCCACCAGCCCTAACAGCCACTGCATCCTCCCTCTCTCCCTCTCGCTCTGCCACTCTCTGTTTTTGCAGGTTTGAATGTTCTGGTTGACACTATGTTTTAATGCTTCCATCGTATCTGGTGTAACGCTATATGTTTGGATAATGACATTTATATTACACTACCGTGCAATGTTTCACATGTTGTTCTATCATGTGGTAGCACCGCATATTGTATATTACCCAGTATATCTATGCACAACACCCGTTACCGTCACAGTATATTTATTTGCATGCGTATTATATGTTCCAGGATACAGATAGAAAGAGAGAGAGAGAGAGAGACAGAGACTTTCAAAACTGGGCAGATATTGCAGCAACTCCTAAAGGCTGTTCCCCCTCTTGTAGGGCTGCACGCATCACGCAGAAGCAAAGTTGGAGTCCAAAAAACTACAAAAACGTAGAACTCATCAGATGACCTGAGACAGACGGAACAGTCCCTCCATGCATCTGAGGCCCACATGCTCAGATGCAGAGTGCTCGCTTGCAGGGATCTGTGCAAGTGCATATGCCTAGCAGAAATGCAAGGATTTTCATGCAAATGCATGATGCATGGTAGTCACGTCTCCATGTTTCCTGCCAAACAGCACGTCAGCAAACTTTCCCGACAACAGCAATGCTGATGCAATACTCGAACACAAATGACGGACAACTTTCCGATGCATGTAGGACTAGGAGTAGTGCAGCACAGCAACCCATACTTAACAACTCCATATGCTCCAACATGTGTCTGGTCCGTACGTGAATGCAGGCACCAGCATATCTTGTCTGTTGTCGCTTGTACATATATGCTGCATGCGACCTCAGATGTATGTCTGAACATACCCACTCACAACTGATTCTATCTATCATTCTATCTACCTTTATTAAGCGAAAGAAGCGAAACAAGCTCCATGAAAGCACGATGGTCATTGGAACTACTATTTCTGACTCTCTGACAAAGTCTCAGTTTGAGAGAACTAGCACCAATGGCAACTATCACCGGCCAAGGCTATCAGCAGTAGTATCATCATCCCCATCATCTTCATCGGTGTATGCATTCTGCTCGTCTCACAGATCACGCATGCGACTGCATACTGTCAGCTTGCGGAAGAGAACCACGACGCACAATGTAGCCACAGTGACGATCGTGTCCCTGCTATTCCTCGCGATATGAGAACAGATGCTCTTCAGAGACTGAGGCCACTGCTTTGTGCAATCTCGTTTTCATGGTGAGGGAAGACGAGGTCCGGTCTGGGCTGATACTGGGGCAACAGAGTAAGAAGAACACGGGCAGCGATGGACAATAGTACAGGTGCTAGGAACAGCAAATTGATTGAAAGCTGCGGGGCTGCAGCTCTCTCAACGTTTTGCTGGCGGTGTTCCTCCCATGGGATCTTACTGCTCGATGTTGTCCATGCCAATACTTCTTCCTCGCTTACCTGTACGGCCAGCGCTTCGCAATGTTGCGATCGCAGCGAATTTCTACCAATACGGCATCCGTTGCCGCCGGGTGGAGCATCGTTCCGACACACTTCCAGTTATAGTGATTCAATCCAACATATCGTTGCGCAAAATTGGTGCGGCTTTATTTTTTCTTACAAAATCGAACCAGATTATACGCGCATTCTCGTATCAATTGAGGGTCCTTTTTCGGTGTGCACTTCCTGCTGTAATAACTAACAGTGGTCTACTGACGGTCGACTAGTGTTACTAGTGGTGCAGTTGCTCATCTTGCTGTTTCGATAATTTCGGCTTCGGCCGTGGGCAAGTCTGGCTCAGCAGCTGATTCAATTTGCCCTGCGATGTATGGAGATGCCTGCAGGCCTGCGAAGTTCAGTCTAGGTGCTCAAGCTGGTTCCAGGTGCAGATCATGCGCTCGGGTTGCTCGATCTACCGCAAAAGTTTAGCACCTGGCCCACCACCATGGATGTCCAAGGTCTCTCCCAAATACTTCTTGGACATGGCCTTGGGACTCAGCTGCGACGGAGGCCCTGTCCTACGAGTTGAAGTTGTGAATCACCAGAGGCTACGATCGCGCATCCGCAGGAGGCAGCCTTTTCTGCCGTGTCGTGGCGACGCTGCTGACTTTGTTGGTGGTGTGGATACCGGAAGGGCGCAACGCTCAAAGTCAAACTTGCTCTTCCAACCTTACAGCAAGCCCTGTGCTGACCAGCCCTGCAGCCGACACCCCTCTGGCGAGCCGGACACTGCATTCGATGTGCCAGCCTGGTCTCCCTGGCCTTAGGAGGATGGAGCAGGAAGAAGGATTCTCTTGACGCTGGGCATCGCAAGAGGAGAGAAACGATCTTGGATTCACCTCGCTTGTAGACTGGCTGGTTTCTGGCAATGACCATCGTCCCAGGACCGTTCAACATTTAGCCAACAATAATGTCCGGCCGGCAGGAAGCACCAATGATAAACTAAACTGCCAGAACCGTCATGGAGGTGACACATAAAATCATGAGCCAGGCATGCCTTGATGCAGCTATTCATGCTTGCCCGCTGGCTGGAGAGTGTTGAGACAAGAGCGTGCTAAATCCAAGTCATTGCCGAAAGCAACCTTCATCGCGCTCCAAGACTAGGAGCCTGACCCCCAGGGCGAGTCCCAGTGTGGCTCCTTCGCAGAGCAAGACATTGAAGACAGTCCCCTAAAAGGTCACACAAGCTGAGTTGGTTCAGGTGTCACCTTGCACGGACAGACAGAGACAGACAGACACAGACAGAGACACACAGACACACGCAGACACAGGCAGCCACAGGCAGACACAGGCAGACACAGGCAGACACACGCAGACACACACACACACACACAGAGACACACAGAGACACACACAGACACACACACACACACAGACTCGCACAGATCCGCACAGAGACACACAGACACACACAGACACAGACACAGACACACAGACAGAGACACACACACACACACAGACACAGACACACAGACAGAGACACACACACACACGCAAACAAAAACACACGCAGACATGCAAACGCAAAACTGCCGGTGCTCAGAGTCATGTCGCTGTTCGAAGTTCGAACTGCTTCGATGATGCTACTGCTTCCCCTAGCGACGGACTGCGTAACGACTTCATGTTCTGCAACGATGGGCTTGATGGTGAGGCGTCAAATCACAGCTGGTGCTTCCGCCGCTTCTTGCCGTCGGGATCTGTCGGCCGCAGTCTAACCACACTCTCAACAAGCAACATTACATGACAGTCCCGAGCGTCTACGACTGGTACCCACATGCTGTGTCCAGAAATGTACTACAAGTGCCAGCAGCGGAAACACGGGAACCTGGAACCTCAGCGAGGAGGACATGACGTTACAAATTGTACGTAGTACTTCATTTGATACTGCCACCTTCAAAGCCACCGGAGCAGCATGAGAAACGGTGGCAAGGACAGTAGCAGCTGCAGCAGCAATGCTACATACGGTGAAAGGAACAAGTAGTCATAGCAGCGCACAAGGTTGCAATGAACTGGCATCATAGCAACACCAAGAGCTTCGCGATAGGAACCCGAGCCTGTGGCTTGGCGGACTTCCACAATACGAAGTCTTCTGGAGACTCCTTCAGCCCGCCGACCTGCACAGGGCCGCTTGGGTTCGGATCGCATGTCGAAGCCCGCTCAGACTTCACGTTCGGGGTTCCCTGCTGTTCAGTAGCGACATCATGCTCCACTTCCTGTACTGTACTGCCTCCGGTTAGATTTCACGACGATGCTTCTAACGATTCTAACTGAATCGTGGCTAGCGGCTACGGCTAACGCTGCTGTCGCTCTCTGGATTCGGCTTCGCTGCCCTACGAGATCTCAACCGATGCTTGAAACCGGGCCGTCATCTCGAAAAAGAACCTGGAGATCCAAGAGCTACCCTCAAGCCCTTCATCGTTGAGATCCTGTCACAACGAAAAGCTTTGGTCCCGACAAAGATATTGGACCACCCCCGATTCACAGCCAAGAACATTGACAACCTGCGGTGAGTCAACCTAGATGCCGTCGAACCACCACAAGCCCTATCGTGTTGGCTCTTTTGCAGACGTCCGGCCTGGACCCTAGCACCCGCCTCATTGCCTTCCAGGCTGCACCTTCGCTGGGTTTTGGGGACTGGGCCCGAGGGCCACGTCAGCAGGACCCTCTGAATCTTGCGAAGCTC